CCTTTTCCAGTCCTTCAGGGTGCTGCACCTCAGCCAGCAGATGTAGCATGTTGTCTAGCAGCCAGGCTGGAAATTGCAGTTGGTTGTTCCGAGTTTTACTCTTACCAACGTCAGAGACTTTATCCTTCTGTAGGTTCCCGATCTGGGCATGTTACGCTTGCAGAGGGTCCTAATTCATGAACTTTCGTGAACTATCTTGAGCTCTAGAAGGGACGTCCCCGGTATCGTGCTTCTGCACAGCCGTGAGTTTGGAGATCTCTGAAAGACTGATGTCTGTATAGCAAAAATACTAGTTGGGGTCAGAAAGCAGTCTAGCTGAAAATGTTCTATAAGTTTCTTTTTTATGAAAGAGTGATGTATTTGTCAGGACATTAAGAAGGTGCTAGTTGTAATAATATGCTTGTTTTAAATAGTTTTAATCAATACGGGCATTGAAGTTTTGCTGTTGACTGGTTTACTGTATAAATGCTGTAGTCTAAAGACGTGGAAAATTTTGTAGATGAGGGAAGATGGTACTGTGCTCGAACTGGGTTTCACAATAAGTTGAATTTCAGCGTACCATTACTTGAGAACTATTTTTTCATAATTATTATGTTTTGAAGCATTAATGAGGCACTGCTGATAGTGAGTTGTTGGTTTGTTTGTTTGTTTTTTTAATTCTTGCTAGGCTAGAAATTTGTTACTGAAGTATAAACAAAAGAAATTGAGAGACAAATGGTTTAAAGGGTGTTCATGTGTAAGCCATGATTTTACGAACACTCCTGAACGTGTCTTGTTTAAGGAGTAGGTCCTGTTGAAGAAGGTAAATTGTGCAGTTACATGGAAGGTAGGCAGAGTTGGTAAATACAAAGATACTAAAGCAGTCATAAATATGTTTTCTGTCCTGTATTTCAAATTATTATTCTCTTGCAACCAAGCCCATGATGTGCTTGCACGTAAAGAATGCCGCACAGTAGTCTAATCTTAACAGAAAACGTGTGAAGTCAGCGTGCTAGTAATATGGAGATCTATTTCCCCCCCCCCCCCTTCCTTCCAGATTGTCAGAAGCAGCAGTTAGTTGCCCGGGTGGGAAGACGGGGTGAACAGAACGGGAAGAGGGAAACCTGGTAAGCATCATGCTCTGCTGTTAAAAAATTCAGGTAGTTCTGACCCTCCTCTTTGCATACAGGAGCATGCTGATTTGCCTGCGTGCTACACCAAAATGCAGCGATCTGAGTGCAGCTACTGTAGTGCTGAGCCTGAAGTAATCCTTGTTTTTTCATAGTGCGTATCAGCTTGCGTTGAATGTTGTCTGTGGAACTTCTCCCAGGGCAGGCGGAGTGAGCGGGGATCTCTCTGGAAAACATACTCTGAATCTCTGGGCTAATTTTTTTTTTTTCCCATCTATGTTACCGGGTATAATTTTGATAGCATATACATTTTCAGAAAGAAAAGAGGACTTTTGTATTTGTTTAGTAACATTGTGTATAGAATAGCCAGAAATGTGCTAATTTGAATCATACCTATATTATGTTCATGCTACTGAATTTTGGCATAGCTGTAGTAGCTACTGTATTCTGGCTTCATAAATTACAGTGTGCAGAGGAAATAAGGTAGAATTGAACTGATGTCCACTTTTAGCCTATTAAGAAAAAAAAAAAAACCAAACCCCAAGCATTGTCTCGGTTTTGTCTTGGTTACTATTTAAATCAGCAAAGTAAGGTGTTTCCCAGTGGCCAGATACTGGATGGTCGGTGGTTTTCCATCCGGAAGACATGTGTTTGAAGCTGAGCTTATCTTGATGTTTGATTATTGACACTTGAGATGTTTCTTGCTACCCAGCTCATGTCAGCAGCTGTGAAGCCTCCTGGGAGGGAGAAGGTGCACCTAGCCGGTAGTTGCTTTTAGCAGGAGGAGAATGGGGAGGTTTCTGGCTGTAGTCTGTGTGTGTTTTGTAAACTGGAAGCACCGTTAAGGCTTGTGACAAGGTGTAGCTGCTGTATCGTTGTGAGTTCTGCAGTTTGGCATTTTTAGTGTCGTGTGTCGTCCCCCCGCCCCCCCTTTTTTTTTTTTCTTTAGCGTAACTTCCAATGTTAATCTGTTAACATCTGCTGTATATTGCTGTATCATCTGTAGTTCTTGGGAGATCTTTATATTCTAATTTCTGTGACTTCATGGCAGTGCCCCAGCATCCTGGAGCAATCAGGATTACGTTTATCTTATTGACAGAGAACAGGATTCCAAATTGGTAAGAAGCTATAGATATTTTTTTCTTGCTAAGATGTACGTACAGAAAAGAGATATGTAAGAAAAGCCTAAATGGAGCAGCAATGTTAAAATCCTGCAGTATTAAATACTGCTTGCGTTCTTAGGCAGATGTCGGTGATGTTTCGATAACATGAAATATTACGCTTGTTTCAAAGAGGCTTTTAAGCGTGGCGCAGGGATGTGCGAGTGTCATTGCCCTCTGCCGGGGGAAATCAGCAGTACCGGGCTGCGTGCTGTGCCCAAACCACCAACGCTGCCAGAAATCGCCGGGTGGGCTCTTGGATGGAGTTCCCTTTCTCGCTTGTCACTCCAGCTTCCTCGTCAGCTCAAGTTCAAAGGTACCGTTCTTCTGGAGCTGTGGCAGTGACCCCTATTCAAACCAGATCGTCTGATTCCTCCTCTGTCCTTCTTAGCTGTCTCCATGGGCATCTGTTCAGTGAAGCCGGTAGCTGTTTGTACAAACAGAAAGCCGAACGGTGGATCCGGCATTACAGGACCTGCTGTTTCCCTGAAAACTATTTTCCTGGAGCCACAACTAATTCTGGTAGCTTTGACGGAGAATTGCACGCCCTTCCCATAAAAAAGGAAGTAAACCAGCTTTAATCTTTGCATTGTTAGCCCTGTCGGGTTTTATTACTCCAAAGATAGCTGTAGAACAGTCTTGACCTAGGAATCAGTATTTTGACTGTAGAAGACACTTGAATTTGAATAGTGTTCACACAGGGTGGAACAGGAGTGAGGTCGGACCGACTTAATATATGTGGTTTCACTAACACCAAATGCACATGCTGTTTTGATAAGCCTCTAGCATAGCACAACCGTGCGTTTGTTTTGTTTTGGGTGAGGGTTTTTTGTTTTGTTTTGCGTGGTTTTTTGTTTTAGTTTGTGTTTTTGTTTTGGTTTTTTTTTTTTTGTGGCTTAGGAAAATGCTTTTTGGTTTCCAAGAAACTGCAGTTTTCATATATTGCTGGTGTTGAGGTTAAAGGGAGTTAGCAAGGGCAGAGTTTAGCTGTACTACTGCTGTGGGAGTTCAGTGGGAACCTCTGTGCTCCCAGTCCTTCTTGTTAATGGAATTGCTGACGTTCATGAGAAAATCCTTGCTGAATATCGGAGAGGAAAAAAGTCAGAGGTGGTGACTGGGGAGAAGTAACTGTGAATTGTGAATTGACATGTTATTTACTGAGTAAGGCTGAATTACTCAAAAGCAGTATTAATTCGGTAAGGAATGACTGACACCTATAAGCAGCAATAATTTGTACTGGAGACCAAAATTGTGTAATACAGTAGGGGGTAAAAAATGCTGGTAGAGACGTTTGATAGTGTAACCCAGGCCCCTAGCACTGTGATGGGAGGGAAGCATCTTTTAGAGCACTCTTTCAATTATAGAAGCATGGAAAATAGATTCTCGCGGGCAGCCTGCATGGCAGGATCTAGTCCTCCGCTACCGCAAGCAAGTGTGCAGTATGATTCCTGCAACAGTCTTCAGGCTCCAAATTGAAACCCTCATTGCTCCTCCCAAAAGGCTGTTCCACTGTTTGATTTCCCTGATTTTTAGAAATCTAGTTCTCAATTCTAGCGCAAACATAGTTCACAGCCAGCTTACATTCATTAGTTGCACAAATAGTGTCCTTTAGTGTGAATGCCTTTTTTCTCTCCTGTGTGTTCTGCACGTGCCACATCTGCAGATAGCAGTTAGGTGCATTTATAGCTCTTATTTTGTTCTAAACCAGCAGTTCTTAACTTTTTCGTGCCCTTCCCCCTCTTCAGGATGTATTGCATGCCCCTGTAGTTTAAAGACCACTGGTTTAAAAAACCAAGCCCTTCTAGTCTTTTCCTGTAAAGCAAACTTTGTGTTCCTGTGGGTGAAGTTACTTTTGAGAACGATTATGTAAGATTATTCTCCTAGTTGCTGGGTCAGGTAAATATTATAAATACAAATTGTCATGTCTAATGTTATCCTGATCATGGTCTCTGTAGGCTATATCTGGCTGTATTTATCCCTTTCATTGATGTTTTCCTTTGAAATTACAAAGTCCTCCTATTATCATGAACAGGTTTAATTCTGTTCCAGATGCTCTAGGCTGATAAAGTAGTAATGAGTCTTCTGGCAGTTTCTTACAAGATCAGTTACCATGAAAAAGTTGTATTTACCCAAAGTATAGGAGGTCTGCTTTGAAGAGCAGTTTTGTGATGTGCATACAATTCCTAATAGACAAGGACTGTAATTTTTTTTTTTTTTTTTTCTTATTCTGCTACTTTAGGCTAGGTTAAAACTGGAAGTCAGCTCTGAGACTTTGAGATGTGGTTTCTTTGGTAGCTATGTCAACAGTAGTTATTGTGTACCTCTAACGTTACCACGTAAACTGGCATCCCTTCTGGCCTGAAAAGTTTATTGTGGGTAAACTATGCTCGGCTTATTTAGTTTTCATATTTCATCCATAAATCTTTGCAGATACCTTAACTAATGTTGTTAACTGTTCGTTGTTCTTTTTAGTGTTGTGGGCAGAAATGCATGAAGTTTTTTGGAAGAGATTGCAGTGATTCTTACGTCAGGATTTTTCCTTTCGTCTCATTTTTGAAATGTTCCTTTATGGTTGTGTCTGCCGTTAGTATCCATACTGGGTCTTGTCTTCGGTCTGCTGCTGCCTTGCAGGAAACAAAAATAGGGGTGAATAAGTCCATCCTCTTCCTGCAGGTGGCATTCATGATTCTTCTGTTTTCTTCTGTTGTTTTTCTGCCTTTCCTGCAGCAAAAGGAGACTTTGCTTATTTGCTGAATGCCAGGTTCGGTGGTTCTGGAAATTTAAAGAACCTACAAGAGAGCAGAAGTTCAAGCAAGGAAGGGCAGCAATAGGTAGGTCCTCTACATCCACTCTGTTGTTGTTGTGGGTGGTGGGCCTTGCGTGCTATCCTAATATAATGCGTAATATCCTAATATAATGTGTTAGCATTATAAAGTTTAACTGTGGTCAGACTTGAAGATTTGTCATAACGTGTGTTTTCTATTCTTCCTGCCCCTCACTGCCACCGGGTATTTGAAGCATGAAGATGAATGCAAAATCTGTCTAATGCTCTTAGTAGTGTTTAAGGAAGTCCTGCAGGTTGCAGCTCGATGGTTCATAACTTAAAGATTCCTTCAGTGAGGAATGGGATAGTCATACCTGCTTTTTCTGTAGTCCAGGGCCTGTAAGTGACTTCACATCCTCTTTGTAAGGTGTATGTTACCTGGCGTCTCCACTGTGTGCACTAGATGGACGGAGCTTCTCAGGATACTTGCTTTTAAGACTGACTTTGTAGCAGCATCTCCTGCAGAATTGACTTTGGAATCTAATTTTCCCTGCTAGCATTATCTTGAGTTTAAAGTGGATGAAAATCATCAGGATGTGTGTTTTCAGCTAATCGGTACTGGGCTGACCCCTCTACTTCTACATTCTGTGCCTCTCAAGGGTTCTGTTAAATAGTATTTATATTAATTGTATCATCCACTGCTGATTCCCTCCTGTGGTTTATAAGAGCATATTTAAGCATTACATTATGTTAACCAGCTTCACTGATAGCTCAGGATTCTAGTTGTTTGTATTTGCCATTCTCTTGCTAAGTTCTTCATCTCCTGCGAGTGTTGTAAATAGCAGAGGTTGGGACTGCAGAGAAGGAGATTGCTGACAGCCTGGGCAGCAGGGGCTGGGGTTCCCCAGCGTTGCAGGGGAAGTGGCTAGCTTGAGCTGTCTTGAGATACATCCATGGTCAGCTTGCCTTGCTAGGGTGTTTGATACATGTGGATCAGTGTCACCAGCAAAAGAGGGCACAGCAGAGGGGGCAGCGAGTGAGCGGGTTGCTGGCTGTTGGCGGCAGTTCCTGAGAGAGGACCAAAACCATAAGGGCACAGAAATGTAGACTAGGTAAGATTAAAAATTAGAGACTGGGAAGAAGAGACAGGTGACCAATACAGGGAGACCAGAATAGATGAGGTTCTCTTTTAGCAAAGCTTAATATAAAAAAAGGCAAAAATATTTACTCTGTAGACAAAAATAAAATTTGAACAAATCACAGAACTCTCCTATATTTCATCTGGTTACTAGTAATTCATGTTCATAACACATATTAGGCACTTTTACTAACTTCAGAGGCCTGTTGATTGAATTTTATAAGCTCGCTATTATATATTCCCTAATTCTTGGGTGGGGAAGATAGCGGTGTATCCACATAGGAAGGTGTGCCATTCCATACTCTGCTACATGACAAGATAGCAGCATCTGAAGCTTTCACCTTTGATAGCCTGTGAATTTCTGCTCAGATCTTCCATAATCGTAACAATTGGCCATGTTTCCTGTTCGTTTGCTTACTGCCCTTTCTTATGAGCGCTGGTGTTTGACCTACTTGTGTAAATACAGAAGGGGTGTGATGCCTTTTCTTGAAAGAACCATTTTATTGATGGAGGAATGAACTTCAGAGATGTCAAGTGCCTGAAGGTCTGGTGCAAAAGTTCAGGAACAAAGTAGACATCTTAAATTCAGATTCCATGGTAAGACGTGTCATTGTGCTACCACTCGATTAATGTGTTGGCCCCGGATAATGCTGGCTTTTGAAGAGCTTATCTTCAAATGTTTAAAAATCTGTTCTTGTGTTTTACCGTAAACTGATGTTGTCCAGCAGTCATCTGGCTCACGCACTGGAAATACTTTGTTTCTCTTTTTACATGACTCATTACCATGCATTTGTAACTATAGTTGTTTTCTCTTAAAGGATTTGTTCTGCCCTTTAATTATCATGATTTGGGTCATTAAGGTTTGACTTCTTAACAATGTAGAAATTCCTTCAGAACTGCTAGCTTCTAAGTAGATCTTTCAGGCGGTATGCCCATAAAATTACCAGTCGCCTTATTACTTCTGCATTAGTCTAAGTTAAAACTTCAGTGAGGTTGCGTTGCCCTACTGCATATGTGAATCTTAAAGCTTTTTTAGTTATCAAAGTGTGCTTACAACGTGTTTGGGGTTTAGCTGCTGGAGGTGCTCTGACTTGCTCAATAGCAGTGGTGTGTACTTAGACTGATGAAATAATGAGTGAACTGCCATAGCAGATGCTATTACTGATAATTCAGACTCCACATGGCATGAAAAAACCACGAAGAATCATTGCCTATACATGCTTGTTCTCACTAAGGTAATCCATAAATAGGTAGTGATCATTTCCCTTTCTTCTTGCATTATTAAGTATGTTCTTCTGTTTCCTTTAAGCATTTCTCTACAATCCGAATATCTGGTTTTATTTAGGAGAAGATCTAATTGATGCTTTCTGAAAGATTTTGTTCATTGTTTTATTGCTGAAGGGGTCATTTTTAGATAGCAGAACTTTGTATTGGGTCAGTTTTGTTCATTATTCCTTCAGTATTTGATAATTGTTTTTTATTACCTTGATTTCCTGGTCTAAGATACTGCTAGTGGTGTTTGTGATACTTCTGCAGAATGACTGGTAACTTCTAGTAAGAATGTTGAACTGGAAATGGCTTCCTAGATTTCTCAGTCTTATCACTTGGTATAGGAAGCCTGATGTTGTTTAATTGATTATTTTAAAGTAGAAATTATATAGCAAACTCTAGCTTAGACAGGTTTTTTTACTTCCATTATTAGAGCTAGAAGAAAGATTCTAACTATTAGAGCATCCAGGGTCTTGAAAGCCTTGAATTGCCAGCCTAACATTTTGAAGGGACGTTTCATACCCGCTTTTTAATGATAATTGCAGGTTTTGCCTTGTGCAGCTCTGTTTGCTCTTGTTTATTCCTCAAATGCTTTTATGACCAGGAATTCTGTCACTTCCTACCTCTTCAGTCAGGTAAGCAAACAAAACTTCTAGTCTGTGTTCATAGTACTGATTCTTCCATTCTTCTGATCATCCTAAACTGTGTCTGCTCTGCATACTTGGCTCAGATCTGGGCTGGATTTGCACCTTAGTTTGCCTGCTGCCCACACTGTTAAAACAGCATGGGACACTGTGTCCCTTAGCATCTCTTAATATCCTCCAGAACATCTGAAGTCTGTAGTGAGTTAGCTTGCTGTGCTGGGCTTTGATCTGTAGTGCAGTTGGAGTCGCTCATCAAAGCAGAAACATGGTTTAAGAAACTATTCTTAATCATCTTGCTGTTGTTAGCTGCTGCTCTGCAGCTGAGACTGCGTGAAATGACTGCTTGAATCGTCCTCCATTTCCTGCCTCAGAAACTTCATGGTCCTGCCTTTCATTTTGGAACTGGTGCTGTTGTGTCATTTCCCAGCTGAGACCAGTGTGGAAGCTGCAGGTGCTTCTTCTCTCTGTTTCATTCAGCTGATTCCTGCCGTTGAACAGTTTAACATAAACCACTGATGGAGCAGAGAATAACAAAGCAGGAGCTCGTGCAGGCAGGCATCCATCGTTGCTGGGAGGCAGCAGGAACAAGCAACCACTTCTTGTTTATACCAGTGCTCCTCTTTTGCTCTTTTCTACTCATGGTCTAGAGTGAATCCTTTGGCTGCTATCACTGGTCTTGGCTGAGAAATCTTAATTCTTCGTTGAAGACCACTGCTAGTGATCAGATGATTTTTTTTTTTATTTTTTTTATTTTTTTTTTTTTCAAATTCTGGTGTAGTGGACCAGGTCCATGCATTCTGGCAAGAGCCGAACTCTCACTTGAAAGGTAGAGGTTACCATCCATTGCCATTTCTGCTACCTGAACACCCCTTTCTTCATGCTTGAGTCTGACTCCATCTTTCTTAAACAGGGCACACACAATAATCAGATCAAGTTTCCAGGCAGCCATAAATTGGGGTCACAAATGCTTTATTTCACAGATACATCACTCTGATCACCCACAGTCACTTTGTAATGGGCTAGGATTTTTCTTCCCTCGTAGTTTCCAAATTAAGGAACTGTTTATCTAGCAGGAATATGTATTATACCCTGCTATATGATTATATCTTCTGCTGTTGAAATTCATCCCGCTTCTATTATTCAAGTCTATGAGGTTATCCAGTTCTTTCTGTACAATATTCTGGTTCTCCTTTCCTAACTCGGTTTTATCAAGAAACGTTAACACAAGCCAGGATTACTAATGAAAAAAACCCCACGAGAAGGGATCTTCAAACCTAACTGATAAATCTGTAATTCTAAGTGTCTACACCAATCCAGGGACTATGCACAATTGCATGTGGAGGTCTTCAGAAAAGAGTAGTGCAGTCCACGTATTGAAAAAAAGTTGCATTTTTGTGTGTTCTCTTTTATAGAGATTTAAAGCATGTCCCAGAATATATTGGTGGATTTAGAAAAAGCAGATGGTGAAGTCCAGTTCTTGCTGAAATCGTTTCAGCACACTCTGAGCCAGTGAACTCAATGAAGTAAGCCAGAGAGAGAACATGCAGATTTGAGCGTAGAGAAAGGCAGGAATTCCTTTCAATCAGTGGTGTAAGAGCTGGTATGAGTGGTTAGATTTTTGTATTAGTTGGGTAGAAATCGTGAGGGCTTCAGGTCCCAATGTGTGGATAAGTACGTTAAAGAAGAAACAACATAAGGAATGGAGAAAGGACTGACCTGCAAAGAAAAGCCTGCTTTAAAAGATGAAAAGAACCTGCAAGCTGCATTAAGACATGTCAAACAATGATAAATACCAGAAGATTCTACAGTCATTCAAATAAAAAAAAGCCAAACCAGAATGGGGAAGCAGAGCTGTCACTGCAGGTGAGCGTGGGTTCAGGCCTTGGTAAGGATGTGGGGAAAAGGCAGGACCATTAATGGATGTGACAGTTTAGAAACTAAGGCAGATGTACAAAGAGAACGATGCTAAAGCACTGAAGTCCAGGTGAACTGATTAGCTCCAAAAAAAGACTTGGG